CTGGTTGTCCTCTGAGCCTGCAATCACAGAATCATAAAGATTGGAAAAGACCACTAAGATCATCAGGTCCAACCATCCACTTACCAACAATATCGCCCACTGACCACGTCCCTCAGTGTCACATCTCCATGGTTCTTGAACACCTCCAGGGGCAGTGATACCACCACTACCTCCCTGAGCAGCGTGTGCCAATCCACCACCTCTCTTTTTGAGAAGAGATGTTTTCTAATATCCAACCTGAACCTCCCCTGGCACAACTTAAAGCCATCCTCATCCTATCGCTATTACCTGGGAAAAGAAGTCAAACCCCACCTCACCACAAAACATCCGCGTGCCATTATGTAGACATGATGCCAGGCTGACTGCCTTGTCCACCTTCACAGGGCTCGTGAAGGTGATACCTGGAACTGTCTGCTTGAGAGATGCTGAAGAAAACAGCCTTCATCCTGCCAAGCTCTGGACACAAAACATCCTGCTCAGATGTCTCACTTGAGCCATGGTGACGAGTGGCTGTGGCAGACACAGAGCAGCTTTCCTGGGAGTTTATTTTTCAAAGGCTCAGTGTGTTCCATTTCAGTACGGCTGGAAAATCTGTTGTGTCAGTGCCCCGGCCGTGCCTGTGCATATTTGCATTTTCATTACAGTATTTTTAGAGATTTCCACTCCTCGGCCTGATTTGGGAAGAAGTCAAAAATGTGAAATCTTGGACGCTATCACAGGAAAAGAAACTCAATTTTTCAGTCAGCATTAGATACAGCCCTCAGACGTGGTGATGGATGTGCTGCCAGCCTGGAGAGCTGCACTCCCCCCACAGATAAGGGCCTGATGTGTCCCAGGAGGGCTCTGTCCCCCAAGGAGCTGCTCCCAGCCCATCCTACCCAAAAGCCACCCCAAAGCCCAGCAGTGCTAAGGAGCCTACATGGTTTGACTGCCTGTGCACTGAGAACTCACCTACTTCTAATCTGGTTGCATTTTGGGCAGATAGAACCAGCCTTTCTGCCCACCTCCATTGCACATGGTGCTCTTTGGAGTGAAAACCTCCTGGACCAACAGCTGCAGCCAGAAACCTATTGGTCACATTTATCTAGTGAGTTCCTGTAAGAGCCAAGCTCTGCAGTCACACAGCTTTCCTCCATCAGGTTGATGTTTCGAGCATTTCCCCCACACCCACTAGCACTGAGGAAAGCGACAGCCTAGATTTTCACTAAAGGGTGCCTCGATCCATTGGCCTCACCTCTAGCCAAGCAAACTCAAATCAGGGGAAGGTCAGTCCAACATGACGAGGCCAAGAGGGATGGATGTACTGGGATCCCAATGAGAGGTCATGTTAAGCAGTGTTGCTGGGTAACACCACCTCAGCTCTGCTGGTGTTCCTCCCCAAAGCAGGGTCCCACATCTTGCTGAGGAGCTCAAACAACTCCAGTCCTGTGGTTGGCTTGGAAGCTACACCATTTGCAACTCTGTTTCTTTTGACAACCAGGCAATCGCATGCAAGGGGCTGTTATCATTTCAGTATCAGCAGTATGAGCAGCTTAGCTCAAGGCAGGTAACTGCAGAGGCTCAGCAGGTACCCTCCTTCCCTTAGTGGGCTCCCAGACATCAATCGCTCCAACTTTCAGCCCAGTTGCCTTAATTCAGTGGTCAGGAGCCCAGCAGGGAAGCAGGAAGACAGCCAATACACACTCAGGAATCCCCCCAGCAATAGCTGCTGTACCCCTGAAACAAAACTCACCAACTCCAACCAAGCTTGATACCTTCCTCCACGAAGAAAAAAGCTCTACCCTAGCACTCACCCACTCCTATTTTAACAGCTGACTGCACTAATTAGCACTCATTAGCCTCTGTGCCCCTTTGTTTGGCAGTGAAGCCTCCTCCCTATTGAGCTGATCCCGTTTTGTCCCTCACCCAGGCAGTGAGACCAAGCACTTTTCCTCTTGTGGTTTCCTCACCTCCCACCCTCCTTGCCAGCCCCCACGCCCCCCATAACGATGCCCAAGCCTTAGCCTCACCACACTCAGGGATCTTCCCATCGCCAGCCCACGCTGTAGGACCTCAGGGCAGCAACACGTGGAGCAGCTGATGGGGACTGGGGAGCTTTTCCCCCACCTTTTATTGAAAATCATTTCTATTCTAGTGCAAACGCTGTACATTTTACATCACAAAGCCAGAGATAATTTACAGGATAGCTTCCATCTGGGAGTCCCTCCCGTGGCATCATGTGTCAAACCGCCCCAGCCTCATCCATCATCCGGGCGTGATTGCAAATCCCATTCACAGAGAATCGGTGCCTGCTCCTGTGTCGGGAAGGGGAGAAGGCTGAGAAATCAGTGCTTGTACAGAACAGGCAAGTGTGACTCAAGATCATTTTTTCCCCTGAACCGTACGCAAATGTGGCAATAATGGGGGTAACCATGGCAACGTCCTTGGAGCTGCAACTGAACACCTCCTAAAACCCCACAGCACTCCGTGCCTTCAGGACAACGCTCTGAATTTGCAAATCTATTTACACAGTTCAGTAAAATACAGATTAAATGTACACCATGGCAACATTTGGTTTGACAGATGACACTGCACCGTGGCTGAGGCCATCGGCGATTGAGTACAAACAAAACCTGCCCATTGATCCAGCTGCACTCGCTTAGCAGATATATGTGAACAAAGCACTGCTGAAATTATGTGAACCCCTTTGTGTAAACATCCTAGCATGGGCCTTGAGATGTGTTTCTCTGTCCAGGAATGAGTAAAACTGGTAGGTTGCAGCAGAGGGCAGAGAGGCAAGGAGGGGGTGAGCCAGGCACTGGGCAGCCAGCTGAGGAGCAGCATGTTGCACCAGTCCCTTCTCCTTCTGATCTTGCAGGACACAGTTTTCAATCATGGCTCTGTTTGTGTAGGCACAGGAACCAAGAGTGAGTTTCTAAACGAAGGCTGAGATTTCCAATAGGATAACCTGGCCCCAGGAGCTGGAACTGCATACTTGTGATAGAAATAGTTTGGTTTAGAAATGCTAGCTCCTCTGCACTACAGAAGGAAAGGCCAAAAAAAAAAAAAAAAAAGGATCAAAACAGAACATCAGGGATTTCTTAAAATCAGTCTTGCTTTCTTTGCTTTGTGTTCTGTTCTGTAGAGCTTTAAGTCCTGATTACAAGTGGATTTCTTCTTTTGTCAAAAATACCGACACAGGAAGACAAAAAAGTCCACAAGCAATCACACATGCAATCACCAGCACAACTTACACCAGTTTGGAGTTAGGGCTTTGTTTCCAGCGTAGCTCAAATACCTTGCCTGGACTTCCGTTCATACTCTGCCAGTTTAAATTTCACCTTCACTTTAAAGAGATTTATTTCTCATTTCCTGCAACGTGCTATTTTAGACTACCAAACCCCTGTGTCAGACGTCTGCACGTGCCCAAGGCAGCAAACACCAAGATGGAGGCTACAAACCTAAGGAGTACCCCTCATGGCCGAGCTTCATTCTCCTCCCCACATCCCTGTGTGGAGCACAGATAAGCTCTGCTGAATTCAGTAGGGCAACTCCAGGGTTGGCACGGGACATGTCTCTTGGAGAAGCACTATTTGCCATAATTAAGCCCCTTCCTCACCCAAGGTTTCCATGAGGCAGGCACAACAAGCAACATGAAAGATCCTAAGATCTTTGCTTGCATGGAAGACACCCCTTTTGGGTTGCATCTCCTCTGCTTTTCAAGGAGAGAAGAAAATAAGGTCCTAATCGGCTCTTCAGAGGAGGGAGGGCAGATGGGAAGAGTAAAGGAGAGTGGTGAAGGCTACAGGGCAGGTGGTAATGATAGGTCTGTGTGTTCTCCCTGCTGAGACTTTACCCATCCTCTGAGGGATTGGTGGAAACTTTCCACTGGGATGTCCTTGTGCGTTCCCAGTCACATGAACCTACCTAGTCAGACAGGTAAGATCCTCATCTTATTCTATCCTCTTATGGGTGGATGCTCTTATTCTATCATCTTATTCTAGGATGCAAATGCCCAAGAGAAAAATCTGCATAGAAATGTGGCTTCCCTCCAGCCCCACTGCTGTGGGGTTTCCCATGGGAAGAGGAGAGCCACTGTGAGTGCTGCAGGAGGCTGTGGGGAAGGGCTCTGACAAGGGTGAGAGAGGTTGTGGCTGGAATCTCAATGCACGGCTCCAGGAACCTGGATGCAGCACAAACATCCCAAGCATTTTCAATGGATTTTATTTCGTTTAATAAAAAACACCAACCAAGCTTGCATGTATATCTTATATATATAAATATATACAGTATATATAAAACAAATGCATCTGGACAACGCCTCTCCCTGTGGCACAAGCCGTAAGGCATGGAAAGGAGTGTCCTAACAGTCCTATTCTTGGCACTACAGAGCAAACCCTTCTCCATCCTCCCCCCACTCACAAACACACATTGGCTTTTCTCTCTTCTTTGGCTTTTCGAGGCGCCGACAACGTGTGTGAAGCCCACAGAGATCTTCCTTGCGTCGTGGTACAGGCAACCCGGCAAGGATGCTCCCAACCCATCGCGCCAATGGGCTTCTTGCAGTCAACATCAACGTCATTGCCTCTGTGGAGTAAGGGATGTGGGAGGGGATGGAAGGTCAGGTGGATACAACGGAAAGCAGTGACCAAACAATTTCTTCTTCTAGGGTGAGCTGGGGTGGGGGAGCAAGCTTTGCGCCTCAACGCGGTGTTGGGTGGGAGGCGGCCGCGGGCTGAGATCAGCGAAGGTTTCTTTTTGCAGTCCCATACAAAAATGGAAAACAACAAGGGTGAGACCGTCCTTAACTGAAGAAGCTCGTAGTATACTGAGCAGAAGCAATAAACCTGACAATAACAAGAAAAAAAATGGTGGCATTATCCCAAAAGGAAGGAGGAACCTTGTCACTCGAGCGGTTCAGTTTGCTCCCGCTTTGGTCCCAATGTTCAGTTCTGGGTTGGGGTTGGCTTTTTTTTTTTTTTCCTTTTTTCTTTTTTTAATATTTTTTAATATATATATATTTTTTATTTCAGCACAGAAGTTGCGAAGCAGGACGGGTGCTGTCGTATTTTCTCCTTCTGCGAAGCAGCTGCCTCCAGTCATTAATTGACTGTGGGCACTTGATTCCTCTGTAAACTATATTCTTTTGCCTTCAGTCTCAGGTTGGCAATACTGTTGGCCATATTCATGCCCTGCGCCGGGCTGGCGTTGGTACACGTGGTGGAGTAGGTGGCCATGGCACTGCAGGGTGGGGAGAAAGAGAGAAACATTGGGTCACAGCGAGGTCCCTGCACTGCGGCACAGTTCTGCACTACAGAGGTTAAACCCTGGGGTTTCCATCCCTGTGGGATGCGATTCTTACATGAGCATGGGACTGTCACAGCCCTTCATTAAACACCCTTGGAAATCTCTGCGCTGCAGCCCTCTTGCTGAGGGACAGCCAAGGCTGGAGTTGTTCAAGGCAAGAGGAAATTTTCCACTTCCTATTCACTAACCCAAGAGGTTTGCAATGAGGTCAGGGTGCCCAGCCTGCCAACTAGACCATTGTCCTTAAAACTATTCCCACTGGAAGCAATGTCCTTTTGATGAGACCAAGTTTTGTTTTTACTGCTTGAGAAAACACGTCACTTCTGAAACATATGTTACTTCAAAGAAGCGCTCCGGGAAAAACCCATTTCAACAGTTGTGATGCCTGTAGGTTGCAGAATCTTGGAAGGCAAAATTCCACATTTTTTTTCCCTCAAAACTTCAACTGATCCTATAGAACAAACCTTAAAGGCTGAGAGGAAAAAAAAAACACAAAAACACATTTTTGCTGCTTTCAAATCACGTCTTTGTTCGTGAAAAACAGTACTTTTGGCAGAGGAGGCTGAACAAAGATGTCAGAGTCCTTTCTTATCCTACAAAAAATTTGCAAGTCTGCTTTCCAGACCACTAGAAAACTTGTTTAACTCATGCGTCCCAGGCTTCTGCAAAAAGAACCCATCCCAAAAGCCACCAAACTATCTGATGTGGTGCATTTCTTTATGGGGGTCCACAAATAAACACCGAGTGAACGAGAGATGCCAATTTAATATGGTCAGTGCATTTAGGAGGGAACTCCAAATGGTGTAAGTGGTGCTCAGCCTCCCAAATCACCTTCCTGGGGACTCATGTCTGATGTTCTGGGAAATACTCTCCTCTACCCATAGAACCATGGAATCATAGAATCTTGAAGGTTGGAAAAGTCCTCTGAGATCATTTAGACCAACCATCAACCCATCCCATCATGCCCATGGACCACGTCCCTCAGTGCCACATCTCCACAGTTCATGAACACCTCCAGGGATGCTGATCCCCACACCTCCTTTTCTTCCAGCACCGACTTCCATGACTGGAAGAGTTTTTGCAACAGCAAAGCTTCCCAGAGGGTCATGGGGTTTGCTGCATACACAGATCCAAGTCGTGGCTGCACACTCATCCCAGTGCATTGGCACTGCCTCAGACACCATGGGGCAAACCTCCCAGCAGTTTAAACCCAATTCAGCACTGCCTGAATTCTCTGACTTCCAGGAAATCCAGACCAGTGCTATTGGAAGGTCCCACCTTAGGCGATATTTCTCATTTTATAAGCAAAGAAAAGAAGAACTTCGGGGAGGAATGCTATATCTGCATGGAAACAGAACAGCTCACACCCATGGAAATGGATGTAAGGGCCATGGATATACAACTGCTTACAACCTTTGAACAGCACAAAAGAGGAGAGAAAACACTCAAGACACTTCCAGAGTTTCTAACATGGAGGTAAGACACTGAAATACACGTATTAAAGCACACCTTTTCTTCCTGTATTCCTCCAGAACAACACAAGAAATTTCAGCCCCTCCAGCAGCTGTGAGGGCAGGAGCTGTGGGGTGAGCTGCTGAGCCCCCGCATACCCCTGGGTCTCAGGGATGCTCCAGTTCTTCCATGAATTTCCATCAGTTCCTTCCCCATGTCCACCTCTGGACTGCTGACCACCCTCTACCCCGTACTGCAGCAGCAGTAAGAGGAGACCTATGCTACTTGGAGCTTCCTAAGGTGTGTGGAGAGCTGGTGGGCACAGAGCAGCCTTTCCCACAGGTACATCTTCCCTGCGGTTTAGTGCTGGAAGAAATGAGGAGAGGCTGAAGGATGCTCCAGCTTAGATAAAACAAGAATTTTCAGCCTCGGGAGAAAACCGTCCCCATTCTTTTGCTGACATTCATAAATTTGGCTGTATTTATGACTACTCCACTATCTCCCTTATTGAGACTCAGGTTTCCTCCTCTCCTCCCTCTCCCACAAGATTATTATTATTTTTTTTGGCGTCCAAAAACCATATATAACCGCTGCCCAAGTCCTGCCTACAACTCCGAGGAGCCTCCTGCTCCCCAAAGGCCTGGGGGAAATTGCTGCTGGCCCATGAAAACCCTGCCAAAGCAAAAATTCACAGAAACACTCTCCTTTAGCAAGTTACTCCATCAGGAGCAGCACACGCAAAGGCTTCTCTTAACAGTGCTCTGCTTTGAGCAATTGTTCTAGAGACTCTCCAAGGTCTAAAGGTTGAAATCACCCTGCAGTCCCCCAATTGATCAGTCCAGATGCAGAAGCCAGGCTCTGTCCTCTCCTCAGCTGCCTATTTTCATGAAACACAGAGGAACATCATGTTTCTGAGTCCTAAAATCCTCCTTTCAAACACGGTTTTCAATGGACCACGGAGTCAAAGGTTGTTGGAGTGGGAAGTGCAGGCTGACAGCGCGACTGCTAGTCTTGTTTTCTTAGGAACGTACGCTAAAATATGTCTAACCAAAACATTTCAGCTTCAAAAAATAATAGTATCTATTTGGCTATCTGTGCAACGCAGATCTGCAAATAGCTTTGGTTGACCTGTAGCAGAATGTATTTGGAGAATAAACATACTGATTGAAAACTCGTCCCAGATCTAACAGTAAAAACAGCACCGGCCACGCAGCTCTCAGTCCTATCTTGGAGCAGCTGTGAATCAGAGGCTGCTGGGGCAGCCCGAGGAGGTGGGGAGGGGGCAGAGGGCCATGCAAACACTCTGCACGGCTGTTTTTTCACCAAACGTCCAATATTTTAATAACCCTACCGAGTTCAAAGCCTTTATGAGGTTCTGACAACCTGGCCCAGGTGCCCATTAAAATGAATATGACTTAAGTGACGCCTGGCAGAATTAGAAAGCGGGGGAGCAGAAAGTGTCTAAAGGGTCATGACCACCTCATGCTGGGGAAACCAACTGCTCTGTTCCTCTGCCAATGCCTCCCACCCCACTGCAGGGGCAGTGGGAGAAGACAGCCTGTCCTGGTTTGCTGTATTCGTGGGAATGGCCGCAAGCTGCAAACGCGTTTGGCTGAAATGCTTTGGCTATAAACAAGAGGAAGAAGTCAAGACATTGGGAAAGTGTCTTCTCACCATGGAGAGGCATTGCCAGGTCTGGATCTCACCTCAGGGGGAAAAAAAATCTTCCCAAGTATCTCCCTTCTCCCTTGCTCTACTTGTTTGCACGCCCCTGATGTGCTGGGCTTCCCCTTGCCCAGAGCAGCCCCGGACAGCCCTTCCCCGTGTGCCCCTGAAGTTACCTTTGCAGGGTCTTCTCCTAGAAGCCGTTATGAAGCCCCTCGTGTAAACAACATCTTGGGAGGGACGATCTATTTTTAAAAGTGTGAGAGGTAGAAATGAGCCACAAGCATTCAGCAGAGATCTGGTGCTGTGACCAGAACAGACTTAGCAGGGTGGGGAAGGACTCGTGCTTCTCTCCCCTAAGCTAGCCACCCAAACTCCTCCCTAGGATGCAATGCTTCACAGACAGAAAGCCTTAACCTCTAATGGGGGATTTGCCAGTCAGTAGTCCTCAGATAAAATCCAGAGGATAAGGGCCATCTCTAAGACCAAACTGGTGGTCATCAGAAGCATCTTTTGCAGTTTCTGCAGTGGATGAACCTAAGATTTGTTCTTCTGGAGCTACTGGGTGGGCAAGAGTGACCCCATGGCACTGAAACAACAAACTATCAAGGAAGCAAAACGTTTCCAGACCTCACTGTGCAAACTTGAGAGGAGGTCAAGGCGGCTAAGGAAGAAGGGACCTGGGTTCGGTGTAACTCCTACAAGCCAGTGGGAAGCTGGCTGTGACAAAGCCAGGTGAACAGGAAGAAATTCAGCCAAGGGCTACAAGAACTTGACCAACAACGAGGTCACTATGCTAAAAAAACACCCACCAACCTCATTTTTACTTGCCTGCAAGTCAGCTGGCTCCCCACAAACCAACATATCCAGTGGATCCTGCATCCACAGTTAGTTCCCACCAGGTTGTGGAGAGGACAGAAGAGAGCAGGGAGACCTGTGATATGTGTGGACATCCCAGTTCCATTGAGCAGATCAGGGCTGACACATCTGCATTTCTTTACTCCTTAAGCAATGCTGGCCATGGGAGATGGACGTTGAACCCCAGTCTGCCACCCAAAAATACCAGGTCCTGACTGCAGGCAAACCACAGTACAGCAGTACAGCTCGTTCACACACATGCTTGTTCTCTAGCAACTAGAGAGCAACCACTCCACACTGACAACTGTGGGCAGGGTTGGGAGCAATATGCCTGGGGTGAGTTCCCAACTACTTACTGCCATGGAACAGCCACAGAAATCCTTCTCCTGGTCACTGCATGGTGACCAAGTCTCCCTAAGTGCTCTGCCATAACTTCTCCTGGCTATGTGCCCCGTGGAAACATTTCCTCCTTGCTTCAAATTAGATGCACAAGAGAAGTGAGTGTTACCCCTTCTGCTTCCATGTACTCCTACCTGATTCTCTTTCAATACTTCCTGAACTGCAGAGAATGTGCAACCTCCCTTGGAAGCAGCTCTGGGAAGCCACACTGATGCTCTACCAAGTCCATCCTGCAAGCGTGGCAGTGAGATGGAACAGGTTGGAATATGTACGGAAAACCAGTGGGATGCTGTACCTCCAGCTGCCCCATGTGAGCATAAACAGCCCGTTAGAGCTATTGAAAACAAATGCACCTAAGGGCCATGTTCAGGCTGCTCTGAATCATGCCAGCAACTGGTCAGCCCCAGAGGGGTGACTGACTCACCTGTAAGGCGAGGCGGTACCCCAGGAGAGATAGTCGGTGGGTCTTGGAGCTGGGCGAGGTACTATGGGCTGCTCCACGGCGGTCACGTCCCCTGAGTAGGATTTGAGCAGAGAAGCATTCTTGCTGGCCAGCATGGCCCTCTCATTCCGGCGAAACTTGGCTCTCCGGTTCTGGAACCACACCTGGGATGGGAAGCACACAGACCAACCACCCATCACAACCAGCACTGCTGTGGTGCTCGCTCCTTCACCACACCACCCCAGCCCTGCTGGGCAAGATGGGACTCTGCAAAAGCAAGTTCTCTATCACTGGAAATCTTGATGCAAGACAATCTGTAAGTCTGCTCTGGTAGAGCTCTTGTGTAATAAATTGACTCAGCGTGGTCCCTGTTCTGTGCTGTACAACCCGTCATGTTCCCCAATGGGCTTTCACCTTCAGGAGGTGCAGGCATGCAAGCTAAATGCTGAGCAGCTCAAATTAACATCAGCAACCTGAGCATAGAACATCCAGCATCCTAACCTTCAAAAGGCTCTATGAATACATCTGTATGAGTAGGTGGCAAGTATGGAGGCAGATCAGGCCTGGCAGTCTTCCGTAAGACATGGCATCCTTGGAACTGCCATGTGGGATAACCTAAGAGTTTGGTGACCCTACTGTCCCATGTGGACTTCAATGATATCTACTGCCATACTGAATGTGTTTTAATGATGATGCCAGCTAGGTGAGGTATGCCTATACACAGGCTGTGAGAATTACCTGAACTCTGGCTTCAGTGAGGTTGACTCTGCGTGCAAGGTCTTCCCGTACAAAAGCATCAGGGTAGTGTGTCCTCTCAAAGACCCTCTCTAGTGCCTGGAGCTGGCTGCTGTTGAAGGTAGTCCTGTTCCTTCTCTGCTTTCTTTTCTTCTTCTCTTCTGAATTCAGCTGATCATCTAGGAGAGACAATTGGAGATATGAAAGGCTAGAAGTTTCAGAGTCCATAGCAATGTTGCGATGTGAATGTTAAGAAGTACCAGGGTGGACAAAAGTTCCAGTATGCCACCATTCTCACTGTTTTGTCATCTCCAAAATGTCCTTTGATTTGACAGCTAGGCATGCTCGGAGGTTGCCCTTGGGGGTCAGCTGCTTCAGGAAGGTTTGACATCATTTCCTGTCTACTTTGGAGACAGATTCTCCTCCTCCACTCTCTTGCCCTCATCTGACTTGTATGCATCTCTCACATTTGCACAGATTTCACATGCTGGTCTTTACCCCAGCTTCCCTGAGAGCATTCCTTCCAGAAGACATTTCTCATATGGAGAACCTACACATGCCCACAGACGCAGTTCACCCCCCTACCCCATTCTGACAACACCAGAAACTTTTCTGAGTATGAAAAATCACAAACTGCTCTTCTCTGGGCTTCTAATTTCCACGGATTGCCCTTAGAGAAATGAAATAGATCTCTCAGGGGTAAGTACGAATCCCATGCATGCTCTGGGACACAGCATACTCATCTCTATGTAAGGAAAAGTAAGGAGCTAGCTACTACTCTGGGACTGACTGTAGCCAAGGCAGTGCCACTCTCTGTAAGCCACTCTGTTTGGCTTAAACAAGAACTGCACTTTTCCTGCACCCAGATAAGAGACACCAGTACGAGCAGAGCTGGGGAGATGTTAACAAAGAGGTGTCAGGGCTGAACAAGAAACAAGCACAAAAGCCGGTTTTACTTGTATGCTCATAGGCCTTTGCCTTGCACTTGTCCATCTGTAAGTGCCCCACTTTTCAAGTGATGGGTCCCACCAAAACCAGCACGGCTTTCCATGCTGCCAAGCACAGCGTGTGGGCAGTGGTGGAGAGGTCCTGTTGTCTCATGTAGGGGAACAGTAGCTAAATCTGGGAGGACCACAGCCAATATACGTATGAACACATGTTAAAATACATCAATTATTGTATCTACAGAACACACAGTGAATTACACTTGATGTTAATTAATATGCACCTGGGCCCAGATGACAGCATCACCACTGAGCGTCCAAGGGCAGAATAACATCATTCCTTTTGCCATACAGAAATGTGACAGCTCCCCTCATCTTCCCATTCTCGAGAGGCTACGTAAGGCACAGAGAGATGCTGACAAGGAAATTAAAGTCCATAGCTATTGTCCTCACCACCTGTTTGTGCTGCTTTTCGCAGCCCATCTGGTTACAGTTACCGCACCTGAACGCCTTTGGAACAGCGCCTATCCATTTGGGAACAAAAGGACATTCCTTTTAAATTAAAGGAGCTTTTCCAAATTCCTGCAGGTTTACAGCCCTTCCATCCCCTCTCCAGCAGCCTGACAATCCCCATCAGGCTTCTCTCCAGCCTGGGGATTCCTGGGTGCAGAAATACACCCACAGCTCTCTAGTATCTGAGAGGAAGTGTTTGGAGATGAGCCAGGAGGGGACTTGCGATGAGATGTGCAAAGAAAATAAATACATGTAGGAATCCTGAGAAAGCTCCAGAGAGACCTCATTGCAGCCTTCCAGAACTTGAAGGGAGCTTACAAGCAGGAGGGGGACTGACTTTACATGGTCTGACAGTGGTGGACAAAGGGAATGGCTTTAAACTAAGAGAGAAGATTTAGACTGGATGTTGAAGAACCATTTCATTCAGAGGGCAGTGAGGTGCTGGCACTGCTGTCCAGAGCTGTGGGTGCCCAAGGCCATGGATGGGTCCTGGGCAGCCTGAGCTGGGAGCACCCAGCCTACAGTGGGTGGAGGGGGGGGACTTTGAGGTCTCTTCTGACCAAAGGCATTCTATATTTCTATGATTCTATGCAGTTCATCACATCTCAAGATGTGGAAAGAGAAAGGGATGGAATCAAACTGGTGCTCAAGCAGAGCGCTATGCATATTTCCACTTAGGGTCTGCTCACAGCAGGGAGAAGAAAGCCCTGCGACTTCCACCCCAGAGTGCTCATCCAAAGAGGCTCCACAGGCGAGCACTGGTGCAGCTGTGCACCGTGCAACACAGCAAACAGAGAACCAGCCTTGGGGCACGATCACCCCTTCAAATGCCACAAACGCTGCAAGATCAGCTGCTATCGAAGTCAATGTCAGCATGGACATTGCTCTTCCTTCTGAGCTCTCCATTCAATTCTCCTTTTGGATCTAAACCCTGTGTATGCAGATCAGATGAACAAATCACTGAAAGCCTTGGGAGCTTCCTGGGAGCCCTCCAGGCTTTTTAAGATCCTCTCCAGCCCGGAAGACACCCAGTGGAAGGCTCTCGGGGCTGCCTGGCCATTGCTCAGATCCTGTGCGACGCTTCCATACGAGGAAACGTGAGCACAACGCCCTGAGGGACAAGAAGTAAGCAAGCCAAAAGCTGTACAAGGCTGGGGAACAAGAACCCCTCCTGCCAAACACGTTAACACCATTTGCCTGGTTTCCTCCCGGAGCAAAGCGAGACAGTGGTGATTCACAGCTCACCTCCTAACCGCTGGGCTGAGCGGCGGAAGGATGCCGGCATTACCACAGTGACTCAGGGCCAGGTCACCTCCAGCCCTGGCTGGCACCAGGCAGGGACGTGAGTCAGTGTCCCGGCACCGAGCGGCAGAGCTCAGCCTGCATTGTGGGCTGCAGCTTTGAGGTCTCCCTTTGCTGCACATCTGGAACACCGTAGCACAGCTGGATCCAAGCGATGTGGGCAGGAGGAAAAAAACTACAGAACAGCCGTGTGAGCCCAGGGCTGGGCTGACAATCAGCCCTGCTGGAACTCCTTGTTGTGCTGATACACCATAGGACAACTAAAAACTGCTAACGAGGGAATGCAGGCACTAAACCCCATGTGTCTGCAAATGTCACCTTGCTCGCAGCACTTAAAGCAGCCTTTGACACATTGACAGACTATTTATTTATTTATTTATTTTTACACCAGTCACAGAAACATAGAATTGCTCAGGTTGGAAAAGAAAGCATTGCTTTTCCTTATCAGGAAGGAGCCCTGACAAATGGTACCCCTAAATTATGTTGACAGCACCAATGCCTGGAGTCAGCAGAAACAGAGAGAAGAGGAAACAAGCTCTAAAGTTCTTGAGATGGGTCAGGAGCCTTTCATCAACATTCTTTTAATCAGAAATATTATGAACAGTGTTCTTCAAAGCCCTGCTTCTCGCAAGTGAGGCCCCTGGGGAGATGGAGATGCACATTCCTCTGCTCTGGAACCAGTGCTGGATATTCTGAGAAGTTCATTTCCAAAACCCAGTGTTTCACGCTGCACTGGGGGGATTTTGTTTCCTGTTTCCATATACGTGTTTTTCTTGTACGAGCTCTACATTCACGCACTACTTGCAAATCCAAATGCACTACTAGGATGCTCCAGAGCACTTCTAACTGCTCCCAAATAACATCGTGTCCTATCCCTTCCTCCTTGCTCATCACGTCTCCCCGTGCAACAGGGCAGAGCCGCTGTCTTCATGTCAGGGACAGTCACTGGAGAATCATCAGATGGGTCTGTTGGGACGTCACATTGAAAATATAACAAACTATAAACCAAACCAGAGCTCCGAACTGAATGCCTACATGTAAGTTACAAGAGCAGTATTTTTTCCAACAGTACGTGCAACCGCAACAAATTTTGGATTTCCAGTTTGTAGGAATGCCTGTACATACTTGCTTTCATTCCAGGTCGGAATAAAAACAAATTTCCAGATGGGTTTTACACTGTGTGGGCAGTTTTGAAAAGTTTTGACCGGTTCTATGAAGTCTTGAAGCAGAGGTTAGAGAGTACGTATCAGATCTGAACTGAAAGTCAACAATTGGGTCTCATTAAACAAGAGACTAAGACGTCCAGCCACAAATCACTTACAGTAAAGCAGGGCAGATTTGTCACATCGGTTATATAAACTGTAAACCGAGGAAGGATTCCAGGAAAAAAAAAAGGAATCACGCTGTAATCACAGCCTGAAAAACAAGAAGTTACCATCAGAGTTTGAATATGGATTAAAGAAAACCAAAACAAATCTATTTCACGGGAGAAAACAAATCTAGAAACTAAAAACCCAACAACTGATAACTCTTCTAAGGTCAAAAAAAATCACGCAAGCCAAAAAAAAATTGAAGGTTTTACTTGGAGTAGTAGGGAAGAAAGAAAAATAGAGAACAGAAGGGAGAGGAAAAATCTTTTGCTTGGGATTGAAGTTGAATTTTAAGACCTTCGCAGGCGCGCTTTGCAATTTTAACCGCTCTGCTTTGCTTTCGTTTCCTTACATCCATCCAAAATACTGTCATTCCTAGTGTACAGGAATCAACATAAGAAAAAGGGGAAAAAAAAAGCTAGAAAGCTTTAATCAAAGCTAATTCTCTTTTTGTAGCTCCAGTGTCCAATAGGTGTCCATGGGATGGTGACACGGGTGCGAGATGCATCAGCCGCACACAATACCTCAAATTGCTTCAGTTACACAGAAAATTGCAGAATGTGAAGCTGTCTTGTTTGGATCGCCAGGAACACAGGAATGAAAAGAGGAAAAAAAAAAAAAAGAAAAGAATAGAAAGAAACAGATGCTGCATTTTTGAAACGTCTTCGGGTTTGATTATCTCATGAACTAGTCAAGTTCACCTCCTTCACAAGAAAAAAAATGGCTATTTTGTGAACAGGGTGTGGGATTTCAGAAAGGCAATATTGAATTTTTCACATCAAAACTGAGTTTTAATATAAAATAGAAAAGCGTGTGCATTTCCAGCATTACCCAGGGGACGACAGCAGTTCCTCTCCGAAGTGTCTGCAATGTGGAACTTATCAGGGTAATTTCTAGCTGACCGCATACAAACAATTACATATCATTACAGAGCTGTGAATAGCTCTTGCATGGATTGCGTGCCTCCAGACTCCCAGCTCTGCTTCCAGGCTGGGAACTTGCTGAGGTGCTGCATAGTCCTTCACCAGGGCACTACAAGCCCAATCCCAA